CCGTTGCTGATGCCAAATCCACAGGCGTTGAGGACAAGCGAATCTCAGCACATGGCTTCGCACCCAGCTCTGACCAGGCTATGGACGAAAGAGTCAGCATTCTAAATTCACATGGTTTACGGTTCGGGTGTTTGGAGATTCGTCTTTTGTTGCTATTCATCTGTCCTGTGATGAGAGTGTGTGGAGCGATCTACCGCAAGACTGGGTTGTCAGAGGATCGAAGCAAGCCTCTGAACTGATTCCCCGGCACAGCCCCCATTTGTGGCATCCTTCGCAAGATGCGGAAGGTACGAGGAAAGAATTTTGAGAAGAAATCCTCAGAAGAGAATCCATGCTTCTATTCCTCAGCCCGAAGGCTTCCATTCCATTCCTCCAGCCTTTCCCCAAAGAAGTGCTGTAAGCCTCACTAAGGCCGAGCTGCAGAGATCCACGGAGAGCAATGCTCAGTCGCTACAATCTCTTCGAGCCCAGGAGACATTTGCAGTTTGGAGGGTCTAGGGTGAGCTTTTGCAACCTGACTTGCAAGACTACTGGAACTAGCGAAATGCATTGAGTTGCAGCCAGGGTTTGGATTCGTCATCCAGCCACAATGCATGGTTGATCTTATGTTCTCATCTCCCGAAATGATCATTAAGTGACTGGTGCGATGCCATGCCGATGGCCTTGTCCAGTACCACTGCCTTCCTCATTCTTACACCTTCGCTTTATGTCCTTGCATCTTATTTCAAGCCCTCAAAGCCAAGCAGCAGGACACAGGGCAAAAACTCCTGGATTTACAGCGGCTGCTTGAGACGCAGTCTAGGACTGCTGCACGCTTTCTGCACTTGTTTTGTCAGCTTTGTTCGCAGGATGTGTGCGGTTGCAGGGTTTCGAGTTTCCGGTAGTAATTTGGGTCAGCATCATAGCACAGAACGTGACTTTTAGGCCGTTGAGTTGGATTCTTGTCTCAGGTAACACAAGCTACCCGGCTTTCTGGAAAAACTCTGGTTGGATTTTGGATCTGGAGCTCAATCCGCTACTCCACTTCATTCTTCAATCGATTCTCAATGGGTCACAAGACAAAATCAGATGAGTCTCACCTGTGCACAATTGAGAGCTGGCGAGCTTGAGATCCTGATGGCCCGATCGCAATATAGATATTTTCCCTCGAGCTGCGTTCACTACTTTGTGTCTCTCAAAGTTACGGGTACTCAGTCGTGAGACCCAAGTTCTTCCATGCTTTTTTGTTGTTGATATTGCCGCTTTGTACAGTGTAGTTGGCTCTCCTTGTTCAGGAGCTTGGAATCTGCACGGAGTCAGGCGAGCTTCCTTCAAGTATGGGATGAGGTTTTGTTTTGAGGCCTCAAGATCCACGGGAGGTTCAGGAGATTGTAGGAACGATGGAATTTTGATCCCGTGGGAGTGTTTCTCAACATGCGATCCTTGTATATATATCCCGAAGCAGTACGATCCTTGTGGCAAGATCCGCTCAAAAGCATTTAGAGAAATCCGACTTCCCATAGGCTATGGTCCAGGGATGGAGCTTCAGGGTCTTACATCGGTTTGGTAGGATTACTCGAGGGCTTGATGCATGTCTCGAGCTTCCTGGAGCCCTTACAGTATAGAGCATGGAATGTTGGCCGGGGATAAGGGGGATTGCCACTGTGGGACATGGTCAGGGTGCCCGTTTGAATGCATAGTTGCTCCGGACTCTGGCTGTGCAAAGTCCTTCGCAAACTAGTCGCATCACTACTGTTCTTGTTGCGATTGCTTTGGGTTGTATTTAAATTTTCATCCTGCAAAGAGACTATTCTCACTTGTGTTGGTGCTGTAATTGCTTGCTTCGCATGTCGGGCTTTTCTAGAGGATTTTTCCACTCGGACAACTGTCTGACTTGAACTGATACTGTGGATGCTTAGAACCTCTACGGTGCTATGTACCCAACCCCCACAGCCTACCTAAGGTTATGCGGAACTGTGTCCAAACGGCAGCAATGACATAATAGAATAACTTTCCATCAGTAATGGAAAAGAAAATGAAAGCTATTACATAATTCTACACTCCTATAATATACATATGCATCCTTCATATTCTGCAATCTGTATACACTGCTTTCTACTTTAGTTTCCAGTTGTAACATCCCCCATCTACCGCCCTGTATTATGGAAGTTTTCGTATTCTTTTCCATTCCTTCATTCCCGACTACCCGCCCTACACCCTAAACTCTGAGCCCTAAACCTTATAGTCGCTTCCGTTTTCTTTTCCATTCCACACTGATGCCCAGCACGTTTCAGGATGCCGCAGAGCTGCGACGGGTTGTGGAGGCCCAGGGCACTCAGCTGGCAGAGGCTTTGCGCAGCCAGGCGGGAAATCCACGGCTTTTACCTGTTGGGGACCATACGGGTTGTTCTCAAAATCATGGGCCACTTTTGGTTGTATGGTATATTATGGCATACCAAAACGGTACTTAATTTTTTTGGAACTAACCATATTGTTTGCAAATATAACGTACGCATGTCTAAATATCCATGTGTGTATGTGTTTTATTTGCGATGTACATATATGCAGGTGTACATCTGCATATCTGTGTGTCTGTACATCTATGTATCTATATGTCTGCCTATCTGTATATCCGTAGCTGCATCTGTCTATCCGCATGCATTATAAATGCTTCGTGGGGTGAGAAGGGACCTCTGTTACCTGCTTGTAATCTTCATATATCTTAGGAGGACCCCCCACCCTGTAATAGCGGTATAATCGGAATATACGAGGACCCTAATATGGTTACTAGTATCCCTTATAGTCACTATTACAGGGTGGGGGGTCCTCCTAAGATATAGGCCTAAGGTCCCAGAATGAGTTCAACCCAGACTTCTTGGTATGAAAACGCTAGGCTCCTTGGGATGAAGGGGGCCTAGTAACATAGTCTAAACTCCTTAAAGGTGGCTATATGGAGGATTATAGGGGAGTATTATAGGGGTTATTGAGGGGGATACTAGGAGTGTAGATTTAGACAATAGCTCAAATGAGTAAGGGCATGTAACTATTACCCGCGCAATGTGAAATTTTGGCATGCTGCCCGACATTCAAGTCAATACGAGCATGAACATATGACACGAGCAGATGCCATGCACATGTATCGTAGTGAGGAGTTATGTCATGGCTCATGGGGTTCTACTGAGATTCTGATCTACGAGCAGTTACAATGGGACTAGAAGGTCTTGTGGGCGTATGCAGTGTAATTGTGGCATGTCTCGAACTTACGACCCTTCGATGAGAATCCCAGAATGTTTTAATTTAGGGTGGTTCTGAGAGAAATCTGATTTTTCCCATGAGTAAATCAGGGCAAGATGTCCCCGGTATCGAGGCGGTCGCTGAGTATCTTTCGCTCGAAATATGGAGACATGACATTATTGTGCGAAATGCTGGTTTCCGTTCGGTTCGTGTTACTGAAAAAGAAAATGGAGCCTACTATCTCAGTTTCCACCGGATTGTCAGATGCCCTAGATGTTCTCAAAGATCGAGGTCCTGACTGCACAGAAACAAAAATGCGGGAACCTTCAGAATCCCTAAGCCCACACCGTAGAAGCCCCTAACTTGGGACCCAGCTGGTTGAGCTGCAAGGACTCGGAGAAAAGGCTGACAGATCTCCGGAAGTCCACAGAGGCAACAGCAGATGTCAGATGTTAGGGTGATTGAATCTCTTCTAACTGGAAATTTGGTTGCTGTACATATCTCTCGTAGCTGGTTGAAGTTGTTGTCACTGCCCCATTCCACGACGCACCCCTTTGAATCCTGGACGCCAGTCTTCTTCCGGTTCGTGCTCGCTCATCACTCATCTGCTCATTTGCCTCCTGTCATGCTACCCCTCCTGCTCTTCTAGGGTGCTCCTCGCAGCTATTGCCTTATGATCCATGACAGTATTTAAATCTAGATGCATCTTACATGTGATAGCTGCTATGTCCTTAGTCATTTTTAGCATGAGTTTTGAAAACAAGCCGCGTGGCCAGTTGCTTTGACTTGCTGCCAGGCACTCGCGGATCTTCTTCAGGAGATGAAGCCTCGAGTTCAGGACGGATGAAGCAAATCCCAATCTAAACCCCTGTATAAACCCAGTTTCCATTTCATTTTCCATGTTCTTTTCCATTTGATTCCCCCATAGAACCCCTAATATAACCCTATGATATAGTAGTGAACCACATTTTCCCTATATACTATATTCCCGCTATAGTATATCATAGTATTTTATAGTACATTATAAGCAACCACAATATTTCATCTGCTGTTAAAAACACCTTGAAAGGAGACGTCTGCTGGCCTTGGCTATATCACAACAGCTATGGCCACGCACAGTACGGGCCTGCAGGAGCGATGAGCGAAAGCATACGTAGGCTGGAACCCTTGGTGCCCTATGGGGTTCAGGGTTTTAGGGTCTTAGGGTTTTAGGGTTTTAGGGTTTAGGGGGTCAGAACCCTGGGCAATCACAGCTGATGTCATTTTGCTCACTTGCAGGACTTGGCAAGCACGGCAGTGGCACGCCACCAGGCAGACTCTGAAACTTGCACTTGATGTTGCCTGTCCTTGCAGTTTCCCTTTTTTTTCTCGAAGAAGTTCAATTTGAAGTCGACAGCCTTGATGGAGCCTTGTACACAGACAACTGGTCAGTGCAGACCTTCTAGGGCCCAAAGCTGGGCCAGTTGCCACTTGCACACCGCATATCCGTGCCAGTCTGCTAGCCATTTGCTCAGCATTTGCTGGAACTAAGCTCCTCAGAAAGATGTGTGCAGCCATGCTCCGCGCCATTGTAGGAGCCAGAGCATGAATCCAGGGTCTGCGATGTTTTTGGATTTCACCAGAGCAGCTTTTTTCCAGGAGCTGGCCTGCTGTGGAGTGCCGTGGCTCACGGCGGGCACAGTGAAGCAAACCACTCCGTGCCTTGGGCACCAAGCAGTCTTTCAGACCCTCAAGCAGTGATGTCATGTAATTGTTTCAGATACTGCAGAAGCCCGTCTTCCTTGCAGGCGCACTCGGGGGCGAGCCATGCAAAGAGTCAGCACCCTTCCGCCAATCGCTCCCATGAGGCCGCGACGCAGCCAAAGCCTACTGGTCTGATCTGGAGCAATGTTTTCTTCTGCAAATGTGTTCGGAGCTGCTGGCCTGGCCTGCGCTGTTTAAATTCCTACGGGAGAGTTTGATTCAACAACCTGAGGTCAGAGCCTAAAGATCAGAAGCTCCAGCAGAAGCCTGAGCCGCGGGAACAGCAGCATCGAGAGCAGCATCGAGAGCAGCCGGAGCAGCCGGAGCAGCCGCAGATCCACACAGGAGACGAAGGTTGCTGGATCCAAAGAAGAATGGCTTTGGTGTGTTGCCCTACCAACTTTTTGAATGGGCAAAGCCGCATAGGGAGTCCGAAAAAACTAAATATGCTTGAAAATATGACTTCAATCCAATCCACACTGACCAAGGATCATGGCATGACTTCATCCCTCACTTCGCGCGGCAATACGCCTCGCGTAGGGGAGGAGTCCAAGACTCCTGGGACCAGGCTCGGCTTAGAAATCTCCCATGGAACCATTGGTCCACTTCCAAAGTTGTCCATCTTTCTTGAAGGGACTATGTGCAGGGGTCCCTAGTTTTCTAAAACCTGCATTCAGGAATTCAAAGATGGGTTTCCCGTCACAAGCAGCTGCCCCAAGATGTTCATCCGTTGCATTGCGGGCTTTGCGATTCTGTGCTATTCTGTGTTGATCAGCTTTGATCATGCTGACTGGATCTTGGGGCCGGGAACCTTCACAGGTGGAACGCGATCTTGCGAAGCGCCGGGCGTCCCTTCGCGGTGCCCTTCCAAAGCTGCAGCTGCTGTCAGCGAAGGCCTATTGCCTATCCGCACTTGGGGACTCAGGTTGGAGCTCATTTCAGACCTTGATTCGTAGGTTCCCGCGGACTATGACAGCGCGGCGGCTCGTGAGGCGAGCCTCCGTGCTGTGGCTGACATCGAGGAGGAAGAGAGCAAGGCAGCTTCGGCAGCCAGGGACGCCTTGCAGGAGCTGCATCAGACCTCAGCGCAGGCTCCAAACTTGATTTCGATCTGAATCTCTCTTCTCCTCTCTCTCTTTCTACCAAACCCTTCGGTGCAGGTCATTAATCAACGACATAGTGCCATCATGAGCAAGCTACCCGTCTGCAGGCAGTCATCAACAAGGCCAGCAGCTGGCAGACTGTGCAGGACTTGATGGCTGGTTCCGATTTGAAGGATGCGCATTCGACAGAAGAGGCATTGCAAGCCAAGATCCAGAAACTGGAGCATTTCATCAACATGTCCCATCGGAGCGCAGCTGATTTCGACGCAACACGGGCGGCGGAGCTTGTGGACGCGCTGCAGAAGGCCTCAGCCAAGGTGGAAGAGAACGCAGCACAGCATGAGCGCAACGCCAAGCAAGCTTTAAGGGAGGCCAGGCGTCACGCACTTGGCCAGGTTCGAAGCTTTGAAGAGAAAGCCAGAGCTGCTGTAAAAACCTGGAAGTTTCATGGCATCCAGGCCGTGAAGGCACAGAAAGGTGCTGATTTGCCCGAACACCTCTACGAGAGCCACGAGGACCGCATGCGGGATGCTGTTGGTGATGCAGAAGACAAAGCTGAGGGCGTAGTTGAGAAGCTGGAAGACAGGATCCATGAGCATTATGGAAAGCTGGAGGACCAGCTGGGTGATGCATCCTTCAACGCGCGGGGCAAAGTACTGAGGCACAAGGCGGAGCGGGCAGAAGAGCGCCTGCGGGAGCTTGCGCGAACACTCGGGGCAAGCGCTGCCCTGAAAGAAGCTCAGGCAGCTTCTCGTTTTGCTGCTGAGGAGAAGTCGTGGCGGGCCTCACACGCCCCTCAATTGCTTGTGGCAACGCGACAGTCTGCAAATGCTTCTGTGAAGAGTTCCTCTGAAGACTCTGAAGTCATGGCAGCGCAAGCCATGGAGCAACAAGCTGCAAATCACTTCAAGAACAGCTTGAGCTCTCTGAGAGAGCTGTCAGCCGAGGACATCATCAGCAAGGCAAGCAACTGGCGAACCCTTCAGGACCTGGCTGCAGCCTCTCGACCGAGTGGTTCAGATTCATGGGAGGAGGCTCTCGAATCCAACACCAAGAAGCTGGAGCAGTTCAACAATGAGTCGCGTAAAAGCGCAGCGGACTTTGATGCATCACACGCAGCAAAGCTCGCTGAGGCTGTGCACAGGGCTGCTGGCCATGTGGAGCACGATGCGGATGAGCAGAGACACAACATGAAAGCAGCCATGAAGGCAGCACGCAAGAACGCCCGTCAGCATGTGAAGACTCTTGAGGCCGAAGCCAGAGCTGCTGCGAAGTCCTGGAAGTTCCATGGCAGGCGAGCCGTGAAGGCCCAGCGGAGCGCTCGAGTGCCTGAGCACGTCTACGAGCGCCACGAAGACCGCATGCGGGATGCAGTGGGCGACGCCGAAGACAGGGCCGAGAATGCTGCAGAAAGGTTGGAGGAAAAAGTTACTCATCATTTCGAAAGGTTGGAGGACCAGCTGGGTGATGCATCCTTCAACGCGCGGGGCAAAGTACTGAGGCACAAGGCGGAGCGGGCAGAAGAGCGCCTGCGGGAGCTTGCGCGAACACTCGGGGCAAGCGCTGCCCTGAAAGAAGCTCAGGCAGCTTCCCGTTTTGCTGCGGAGGAGAAGTCGTGGCGGGCCTCACACGCCCCACAGCAGCTGCTTGGAGGCTGTCAGACTGTATATTTGATCTTTTGTAGCGAGGCGATCAGCCAAAGATGCCAAGTTGGCAAAGCTTGTGCCGAAATGCCGGGAGCATGCAATAGAGCTTTCCATGGCGTAGATCATCAAAGCGTATCAGCAATCCAGCAGGCACTGAAGTGTGACGATTCCTTTCTGAGCTGATCTCGAAACTTGCCCCCCCAGTAGAAATCTTGCAAAATCCTGCAAGTTACTGGTATCGTCCGAGGCTGGATATGGCAGCTCCAGGCAGCCACCGCCGAGGAAAACTTTTTTTCACACATGCTTTTTGGGGAACATTCGGGGATGGGGGCTGAGAGACTGCAGAGCCAGCTTACTTTGGAGCACGTGAGGATTGATACAGGATCATTTACTTGCTTTAACTAAGCCAGCTGCAGCTCGCTTGGCAGAGTTGGACCATCCTGCAAACGGATTACATCGGCCCCATTGGGCTGAGGAAAGTCTGTTAACTTATTATGTGTATACACCAATATGAACCGGCAGACCATCCATACATATGAGTACCAACATTGCCAGCTCCGAGTCTATGGGTCAGTGGCCGTCAGGCTTTTCCGCGACCACGGGTTCTTTCTGAGTTAGACCAGGACTTCTCATTGCCTTTGTGTCCACCATATCCTTCGTTGCCACCATGGCTTTCCTTCAGCGTCGTCGTCCTGTGAAGGCCTTGTAGGGGAACGAGCGCCTCCAAGATGAGTCTGAAGCAGTTCACAGCATGAAATTTCCCTGTGCTGATGCTGCCAGGTGCATGCGCCTCCTCTCCTTGGTTGAGAGTTGTGTGGATTTTCCCGTAAGGCAAGTCGCTCCCAGGCGCTGAGACTGTCTATGAGTCTATAAAGAGCAGCAGATTACCTACCTGCCAATGCGGGGGGCGTGCGCTTGCGACTTGCTTCACGGTCAACCCTCAGGGGTTGATGCCTCCTGCAGACTTTGAACAGAGGCGGCATATTTGAAGACACGGTGTCACATTGGCCGGCAGAATTTCAAGCTGCCTTGCTATCAATGTCAGATAATCAGCTACCGCCTTAATGACGTATGCGCGCCTTGGCTGTACTAGTGATAGTGATATTTAGCGAATTTAGTGATGCTAGTGACTACTAGTGACTTTGCTGTGTGGTTCAGGCCCGCTATCTAGACGCCGTCACATGATACATACGCGCAGTGCCGTGCTGCATTCTACTGCAAACATATTGATGAAAAGCGTAGATAAGTGGCATGATGAAGTAACCAATACTTAGGCAGATGAGGGGCGAGTGTCGAAGAAGCCTGAATTACCCAGCTTTCCATTCAAGGTACAAGTAGTCTTTCAGGACACTCTCGTTTGAGGGCTCAGAGAATGCAGCATGTCGTCATTAAGCCCTGACGGATTGCTCGGGGCAAGCAGTTTCAGTCTCAAGCTCTCACACGAAAGTCTTGTCTGTTTGGGAGGACAGCATACTGTTGTAGAGTTTTACTGAGCCTGCAGCAGGCGCAACATGAAATCGTACAGCCAATATGGAGACCGTGTCTGATTTTGCTTCAGCTTGACTTAATCGCTGCTTTCACCAAGTCGACGCACACGTACCTCAGGCAAAGTTGTTCCTCAGATCGCAGAAGAAAACTTAAGAGGTGTGTGCACCGGCTGTGTGACTCTTGGCGCGGTTCCATTGTCACCAGACCTGAGAGATACAGGGTCAAGACAGTGGACCTGAACAATTATCCACAGACTGGGAGCTGTTCATCACAGGATTCGGCATTTTGGTGGTCCAAGCAGCTTTGCTGCCACAAGTTCGGACCGTTTCTGTGCGGGCGCTAGGCCCGTGCTAGGCGCTGACGCCAATTAGGCAAAAACCACGGAAAAGGTCAGCCCTACAGATGACAGGTTGACTCGATGATCCCTGCAGCGATGTACCGCTTTGCAGGCCATCTCGCAGTCGGTCATGGACCTGCGCATGGCCATAGACGGCCTTGTGAAGCCAGCCTCGGTCGAGGTGCGATGCATAGCTCAACTCTCTCCAGGGCTCTGCTTACATCAAAAAGGAGTCTGCAGGATGCCCAGTCGTGAAATAGAGTTTGATGAACCATTTTCAGCATGCACTTGTTTACTTGGACCTTCCGAGCTGCTTTGGCAACAGTCATCCAAACAGACCCCTTCCAGGAGCTCAGCGCCAAAGTCGCCGAGATCCAGCAGGCTCTGGCTAACCAGGAGCTTGCCCCGTTTGGTATTCGAAGGTTGACGCTCCGTCGGTCGTTGACATGGGCGTTTCTCAGCATCCCTGCAGACACTGCTTTACCTCTACTTTACCTCTCAATACCTCTCACATGTACTAAAGCCATCCGCCCGTTGGGACTGGATGCCAGAAGTGTCCTTCCAGGAGAAGCGGGGTGACCAGCGGGACGTGTCTCTGGAAGCTGCGTTTGAGGCCCTGCTCAACTAACACGCTAAAACCATTGCCTTTGTGGCGTATGCTAGGCAACGAACTAGCAAGCCGTGTTTGCCTTGTCGAAGGGTCTTGTGAACCAGACGGCTTTCAAAGTGTGTGTCGGCTTTCACGTGAGTCTGGTCTGTAGCATTGAGTCAGAGACTAACTAATAGCTTGACGTTTCTGAGATGCTCTGAGAGGAAACCCTCAAGACCATCAAGGACGCGTTTCCTTTACAATCCTCGCGGTGTTTGGCTTTAGATTAGCTTTCTAGGAATAATGGAAAAAAGAACATGGAAACAACTATGTATGTATTATATAGTAGGGTATATATTGGGTTTGCAAATGTTTGCAAGCAGGCTGAGCAGAGGCATCCCATTACGCTGACATTCGGCTTAAAGATGCTGGGAGTGATGAGAGCTTCACAGATCAAGATGGTTCTTACAACACATGCATAGGAACAAGGGCTTTGGGACCTTCCGCCTATGGCGTCAGGAGAGCTTTGATGGCTTCAGCCAGAGCTCGGTCCAACAGCACGAGGACATCATGTTTCCTACGCCTTTCTTGTGCAGTGCCTGCTACAATCTCCTTACTTTGTCAGGTGGCTGTTGGCACTTGGGAATTTCATTGCTGCATCATCTTGATGCTCCAGCCTTCCATAGTACAGCCGTATCATACAGGAGATTTAAGTTTGGCACGTTCTTGCCAGTACACCCTTCTAGCAGTTACCCAGCAAAAACTGGAACAATTGCAAAAGGACCCTGGCAACATTGTGGAATGACTCTTGATACATTAATATGCTGATGGGCTGCATCCTGCATGACTTCAAGTGCCTTACACCCAAGATAGGACTTGAGAAAGAGTCTTTAGCTCCTAGGCAGTACATAATCATTAGACCCTTAACCCTGAAACCCTGAACCATGGGGAGGTCCTCAAACTTAACCCAAGTCCTTTCGTAATGTCCTGACAATCCTTTCGACATCCCCATACGCATCTAGCTCATGGAGACTGCCCACCTGATAACAGGGCCGGGATCTTCAATACACCACTTCGCAACTACCCCCATATGTATTCCTAAAGCTTCTGTCGTCTTGAGGGCCTGAGCAGCGCGCTCAGCGACCTCCGGACGCAGATTGAGGTGCGTCCCCAGCGGCGACGAAAGAGGGCTCAAAAGGAAATACACGACGGGGATCCTGGATGAAGGGTGGTAGATGTGTTTGGTTAGTACAGGGTCAAAGGGAGCAGTAGGAGTTTATAGGCATCGAACATGTATCGATATACTGGGAAGGACATTCCAAAATCGCTTTCCGTGTGTAGAAGGGATGCAAGATGTGGGAAACGCCTTGGTTGCTCGCAACTTTGTCAGAGTGAGACCAAGTGCTTGTGGTAAATTCGTTCTCAGAGCCGAATAGAAGTGCCATTCTCTGATTTGGGCAGGCGAATAGCACTGAGTCAGCCGCCTTCTGAGAGCGGTTGTTTTTCAGCATGACAATATCACTGCTGGGTCATGGTTTCTCAGATGCACCTGGGGCTACAAATCGCAGCATCGAAGCTCAGGCGGTCAAGCATCAGAAAGTGGCGCTGGAGCTACTCGAATCCATGAAGACTGCCTCACAGGTGCGCTTGAGTTTAGAAGATGGGACCACGAAAGATCCACCAAGCCTTTGCGGTGAGGATGCAGACATCTCTCGCATAGGGGACTCTTGACTTTAACCAAAGAGATAACAGAGCTTTTCTGGTCCATACCAGACCTGCAGGCACAATCTTCAGGCTTTCGAGACGCTTGCCAGGAAGCCAGAAGCTAAGTCAGATGCTGTTCTTGTACTCAAGTCATGTTCTCCTGCTCCACAGACGATCCGCGACGAGGACTTCGTTGGATAATGGTTTTACTACTCCATTATCATTTGTGCGCGTACTTGTCCTGGCAGTACCTGCTACCACCTGTTCTATTACTGCTACTGATACATGTAGTGCTGCCAGCTCCGTGTTGAAGATAGATGAAGTATGTGAGGTCACCTCCTCTACCTTGGGAGCAATTAGCTCCATGCAGAGGCGACTGGAGGCATTCTGGATGCTGTTTTGCTTTCACATGCAAAAGCAGCATTAAGTAAGGGTGGTGGTGCTCGTAGTGGTACAGCCCTTGAGGAGACCGCAACAATCTCTAATGTAATCATTGGACATCCCCAGGATAGACTTGTGACAGCATTTCCGATAGCAATGAAGGACAACTTGGTATGGTATAGCAGTTGCGTGTATAGTAGTCGCAACCCTAAACCCATAAACCGTAAATTCCTAAACCCTAAACCCCTAAACCCGCAAGCCGTAAACCTCAAAACCCGAAACCCCGAAGCCCTAAACCCTAAACCCCTAGACCGCTCAACAGGACATTCTAATGGAAACTCCCGTATAGGTTTCGAGCGCAAGCGATGCAGGATACGGATGGCGGGCTGCAGTCCTTGCAGCGCAATGCCCGAGGCTCAATGGATCAGACTGCGCAGCTTTTTTTGTCGGTGCCAAATGCATGAAAAAGCTTCAGGCAGGGAGCAGGAAGCGAATGGCAGCAATCTGGTTGAGGACGTGGGGTTGGGGTTGGGGCAGCATTTGGGTTTGCTGGAGGGCATTCTTAGAGAGTAGTTCCTGATGGAGGTTTGCAGGCTCAGATTATCTCCTTTGAAAAAGACCCAACAACACATGGACGAATGGGCATTCCCCTAAAAGTAAAAATCAGGCTACCTTCTTGACGCGCCCTTCATGGATCTCACTTTTCTGGGAGGTATTAAATGGTTTTGGAACACTTTCAGTTGCATTTTCGTGCTGTAGCCGGTAGCCGAAACTCTTTTTGCAGTCCGGAGTTGCCCCAGCTGGTTCGTTTTCTTCTACCAAGGTCGAGCAGTTGCAGGAGCAGGCATGGACCTTTGTTTCAGTTGGTTCGGCCAGGGTGCGGGAGCAAACACAAGAAAAGCTTGTGAGAGCAGTTTGACTCCGAAGAGGTTGAAGCGTGGGATGGAACGCAGTTTAATGCGAGCGTGTTACTGCATCCTTCTTAGTGAGAGCAAGCAAAAACTTCGAGGTGATGTACGATTCGAGCCAGCCAAAGCGGGTTTGAGCTCATAAAGAGAAGAAGCGGATCCCAGACGGGATGCCAAACAGGTTGTGCAGGAGTTTGAGAATGCGCATGCCTCCGAAGTGCATGGCGGATGTATGATGCTAAGGTCATGTTCGAGATGGCAGCATGTTTCAACTCTTCAATATTGCCTTGATGCACAGGTTCTTTCGCAACAGGCAGCTGCGCAGGCCTGGCTTTCAATCTCTGTGAGCCTGTGAGATTTTTTTGATGGATTGACTAACTTTAATGAACATGCATAGGAA